ATCTTCTTCATATTGAAAAATGGTATTCTCCTTTACCATAATTGATTTAAGCTTCTTACTATTAGTGTTGCAAGAGCATAAGTTGAAATTGCCTTCCTTAAGTCTATCAACCAGCTTTTTTTATACAAGTTAAATTTATTAGGATGATTGTTAGTTTGTTGTAGATTATCTATATAAAAGTTATTTTTAAGCATTTCAGTACATTTATCAAAATGGTACTGCTCTAAATGATATTTTAAAATGCAGTTAAGAATAAATGGGCTTGTGGTAAACCCCAAAATCAAGGTGTTGTATCTGAAGGATAACGGTTTGTCTCCATTTATTATGAAGAAATAGAATTTGTTCTTATCTTCCTCTCTTTTAAGTTTAATCATTAGAAAGGTTTTCCTTATGTCGCCTAACATAACATACTTGTTTGTTTTGAACTCAATCATATTGTTGATTATGTTTATTCCTGAATAAGCAGACTCATTTAAGAAGCACTTGCCCTCCGTTTTCAGTGAACAGTTGAAAACTGGTCTAACTTTTAGTGTAGCTTGAAACTCCATTTTGAACACAGGTCTACATGGAATCCAAACACATTTTTCATACTCTTCTGATGGTATGAGTATTCTTTCTCTAATGCCTTTTTCATGCTGAAAGAATACTTTGTGATGTAATGAATATGCATACACCTGGGTTCCCCCTTACAGTAATATAATTGACTGATGTCAGCCATAAAGACTGATGTGGAGGTACAGGATGACACCTATTCACAATGACTATAGTCTTCGCTTACTGCCTACCACTACGACCACTCCATTACGGTTACCTGCTAGATTGTCTTACTCGGTTACAGTCGTCCAAAACCACTTTGCTACTTCGAATGAATATATCCCTTTTCGGGACATATCAGTTCGCAACAAGATTCAAAACAACCTCACAAGTTAATACAAAAGAGAAAAAAAATATACAGTTGACAACACTTACTAATGAAGAACGTTAGAAAGACTTGTTCGATGCTTACAGAAATTAAGTAAATTTTCCCTCATTTTTGTTTAACGCTTATTAACGAGGAACATTAGAAAAGGAAAAACTTGTACAATGCTTACAGAATTCTCTAAATTTAAATACGACCCTGAGAGTGGTTCAACATTTCCAGCTTATTTTCGTAGGTTTGAAACAATATTTATGAAAAGATGCAAACAATGGTCCGATGAGGAGAAAAATCACTATTGTTGCAGAAGTTGGGAACAGAAGAAAATACAAAATATGCAAATTTAATCCTCCCAAAGAAGCTAGAAGAAATTACATTCAGCGAAACAGTAGAAATTTTGTTGAAAATTTTCGATGAAGGAGATAGTATGTTTCATACATGATACAAGTGTCTAAATATCGTAAAACAAGAGGATGATGATTTTGTCACGTATGCAGGTATGGTTAACGCACAGTGTGAGGTGTTTAAATTAAATGAATTGTCAAGTGACATGTTCAAGTGTCTAATTTTTGTGCAAGGTCTAACGGCACCGAAGGATAAAGAAATTAGATCAAGAATCCTCACTATCATGGAACAGGATACAAAGATTACACTACAAAAAATAACGGAAGAATGTCAGCAACTTCTAAACATAAAAAAAAGATAATACTCATCGGATTGAGGAGAAGAGCATTTTGAGAGTACAAACTGTAAGACAACAGAAGTGGATACAAAATAAAGAAAAATTATATGCAGTTTATGTGGAGGACAGCATATAAAGAAGGATTGTTTCTTTAGGGATAAAAGATGCTTTAATTGTGGGCGTGTAAGCCATAGAAGTTCCCACTGTCAGGCAAAACAGAGAAAAGTAAAAGCAAAGTCGCAAACAATGGTGAACGTAGTCTTGTCTAAAAACGAAATTGAGGAGAGTCAAAGAAGAAAATTCCTCAATGTAAAAATAGAAGACCCTAAAATTATTACTTGATTCAGGAAGTGATATCTCAATAATAAACGAGCAAACATGGAGAAAAAAAAAAACCCCAAAAAACACTAACACAGACAAAATTGCCAGGGGAGTGTCAGGAAAAAGACTTAAGCTTAGAGGTGAATTAAAATGTAACATTTCATTCATGAGAAAAATTCACAAATCGAAAGTGTATGTGCTCCCTTGTTCAGTAAACCTCTTTGGTTTAGACTGGATTTTATTGTTTAATTTATGGGAATTACCGGTAAATTCTTTCTGTAACAAAGTTAATGTCATAGAGAACTATAAGACAAAGCAAACAGAAAGATTTATTATGGATTTGAAAGGCAAATTCCCTCACATCTTTTCAGAAGGACTAGGTCTGTGCACAAAAACAGAAGTCAACTTCGAATTGAAAGAAAATGTTAAACTAATCTTTAAAACAAAGAGAAAAGTACCATTTTCGGCACTAGACACAATAAATGAGGAATTAAAAAGGTTGGAGAAAATTGGCATAATTTCAAAAGTCGATTACTTGGATTGGGCGTCTCCAACCATATATATAAAAAAGAACAACTGAAAAATCAGAGTGTATGCTGACTTTTTGACTGGCTTAAATGATTGTGTGAAAGACCATGCATACCCTCTACCGTCTCCGGAGGATATATTCACTAAATTAAACGGAGTTAGAGTTTTTTCAAACTTTCTTTTGGATTGAAGGTAGCTCCAAGCCTATTCCAGCAAATAATGGACACAATGTTGGCTGGTATGGAGAATGCGATCGCATATTTAGATGATATTTTGATTAAAAGTGAAAACAAGGCCCAACACAAAACGCATATTAGAGCAGTATTTCAGTGCAGAGGATGTCAACTGGCAGCAAGGGATCCACCGGTAAAGATTCAACCATGTCCAAAGACAGATGTCCCATGGACTTGATTACATATTGACTATGCAGGGCCCTAAAAATGGATCTTATTACCTGATCATTGGGGACAGTTTCACTAAGTGGCCAGAAATTGTTAAGTGCAACAAATACAATAAACATACTTATTGAAATTTTTAGTCGCTTTGGACTCCCTAAAACTTTAGTTAGCGACAATGTAATGCAGTTTACGGGAAGAGAATTCAAGGAATTCTGTACATCATTGTCCATTGATCATGTGACAATGCCAGTATATCATCCAAGATTGAATAGACAGCCGGAAAAATTTGTGGATACCTTTAAATGAGCGTTGAAGAAAAACCAAGGCATGGACATGAATGAAGAAGAAATTCAGAAATTTTTGGCAGTATATAGAATCACACCAAACCAGAATATGACATCAGGGTTATCGCCAACAGAGTTACTGTTTGCGAGAAAAATATGCTCCGTGTTAGACAGGCTGTTGCCTAGTCTGGCGAAGAAAACTGCTAAAAAAGAAAACCAGATGACTAAAGTGTATAAGCCAGATAACAAAGTTTTTTTTCAAGAACTTTAGGGCTGGAAAAATGTATTGGGAAGAAGGAATGATAACCAAAAGAATTGGACAGGTCATATATAACATAAAAGGGGGAAACTTTTGGTGCAAAAGACATCGGAATCAATTGGGACCCAGACACACTACAGAGGTCACGGAAAATACCGAAGAGATTCCAATGGAAGTCCTGTATGATGCATTTGATATTCCCATTCCAGTAAGTCAACGGAGGTGTCCCCGACCTCAAGGCAAGAGGTACCAATGTGTCAAATGCCACCACTGCAAGGAGGATTGAGGCGAAAAAGACTCAGGAAAAAAAAAAAAAATCAATCTATTAAGTCTGACCCTAAAAAGAGAAAATATTGAAGCTAAATTTCACGGGAAAAATTTAGCTCAGGAGGAGGTGATGTAATGAATATGCATACCTGGGTTCCACCTCACAATAATAGTAATTTACTACTTTGAATGAATATATCCCTTTTCGGGACATATCACTTTGTTATAATCTTTATGCAAATTTTTATGTTCAAGACACTTCATTATTTCATAGGTCTACTTTATAATTAGATGGAACAGAATAGATTTTGTCTTCGTACCATAGCAGATTCACATAATATTCATTGTTTTTAATGACCATTATTAAAAGGTCATTGCTAGTACTCAAAGTAGCAACATTTTCAAATAACATACAGTCACTGGGATTAAAATTTTCTTTCAGGACTGCTAATTTAGTGTTCATATCACCCTCATATTGAAAAGTGAGAAAATCAGCAGCTGAGAGTTGACCTTAAACTGCAAAGGGAAGATAATCATATCTTATTTCTCATAAAAGAAACTACAGAAATTTCTAAAACACCTACAAGTTTTATTCTTTATCTTTACTATAAATACTAAAATTATTTAAGAAAAATAAAATGTATTTCTGAATATTAAAAACAAATTGCCTATTAGAAGAAAAATGGTTACCTATATGCTGCTTTGACAAACAAATTTACTTGAATGTTAAAATAAGAAATCTTCAAAAATTTTCTCTAGTTTGTTTTCTTTTTGAAGTATATGGAAAACAAGCATTCTCATTTTTCAATGCATTTCAAAGTTCAATTTTTTAAAACCTTATTTTATACCTGTTAAACACTAAATCTCCACCATTATTAATAGTTTGCTTTTTATTGAACACTTACGTCATTAGTCTACAAATGTTAAACAGCATAGATTGAAAATAACAATCCCTGAACAAGATCCAAATTGGCAACATCTACCCCAATCCAATATGATTGTTCTCCACTTACTAGGTTATGGACACCAACTAGTAAGTAATTCCAATTGAACTTTACAGCCATACCCACTTTTCATCAGAAGAAGGGAGTATGGCTGTGTAAGCTGGTTGTAGGATTTTATAGCATGGTTGTTGAGACAAGCTCTAGAGTTAGGGATGAGAATTTGGATTTTGACATAAACATATGTACTGTACTCTGTACTGCTTATGAAACGATTACAGAATAGTAAACTAATAGTTATAATAAGGAACAAGAGAAAAAAAGATAAGAGAAATACTAGTCAAATCTTAACAGAGACTTCTTAGAAATTTGAAGATCACTTGGAAGTAAAGATTTTAGCTTACTTGGCAATATCAAGCAATGTTTGTGTGCGGACTGCTCCATCCAGATGAACATGGAGTTCAACCTGAAAAATAAAGTACACTAAAAATAATAATGTAATTGTAGATATACAAATAATATAAGTTGAAAAAGAATAATTATTCATTATTAATGAGTGGCATGTTGTCATTATTCATTATTAATGAGTGGCATGTTGTCAAACTGGTTTATAATGCTTCTATCCGTATGCTTGGGACTACTTGTCTTGTGCTGCTGTACAACAGGGAGATGGGAGAGAATGAGTAAAATTGAAAAGACTGTCTTGTCACATGTCTTTGCTCAAAGCTGACATGCTCCATGATTAACACATTTCTCCATTTGTCTATGATGATGAGGATTCAGTAGGCTGCTGATTATGATGATGATGATAAGAATTCTGTTATTTTTTGAAATTGTCAAGTTTTTATTATTGTTTGTTGGAAGAAGGTGAAACACAGAATGTTAAAATACAGCTAACATTGTATGAATATGACAATAAAAAAACATGAATGATTTCTTGTAATTCAAATTTCAATATACAGAAACAGCAGCAGCAACAACAACAACCACAGCAGCAGGAGCAGCAGCAGCTACCAAAGGAACAAAGAGACAGTCCGATGGAAGTTGAACACATGCCTCCACCTCGAGTGGCGTCTCTGAAGAGGTGCAGAGAAGAGGAGGAGGAGGAGGAAGAAGAAGAAAGAAAAACACAAGAAAGTTTTTTTCTGGTCGTGGCGGGCGGAAACGCAGTCTGGTCAAACCAGGAGGCGCTCCTTCCCGGATTTGCCAATTAGATCATCCTGCTCTCCCGGCATTAGGAGTTTCCTTCCTCCCTTCCCATGCTACATCCCCTCTCCCTCCACATCTTCCCCAAGTTCGTTGAACACACCACCACACACGTCCACCTCCTCCCCTCCCCATCCTGCTAGGGAGAAACAGAAGAAAAAGAAATTGTTTGAGGGCCCCGAGTCAATTTGTAAAAAGGAAAGCCCTGTTGGGGGTGCTGTACAAAACGACAGAGGTGGACGGCAAACGTGTCGAGAACCCCCGTAATTTCCCAAAGGCTCCAGGTGTCATTACCAGTGTCAGAGACACTGGTGGCTACCTAAAAGTATGGAGCCACATATTCGAGGCCAAGGAGGCCTTTCCGAACATTAGAATGTGTGAGTTGGACAACCCCGACTTGAAGAAACTGCGCAACTTTTGCTCTGGGAGGGTCCTGGTTTTAGTTCACCCCTCCTTATATAGGGCTATTAAATTAATGTACCCTATTGATGTCGGCAGTATTGTCCTGGGCGGTTGTATGACGACTGAATTGGGCACTGGTAGTCTGGGACAATCTGTCGGGGTCCTGCTCAACGCAGATTTCCGCCTCGTATGTGTATAAGGTTTTTGTGCTTATTCTTTTTTCTTTTTGCAGGCCTAGACGATGGCAATTAAGTTAACTACACTGAATGTGAATGGCTTGAGGGATCAGGGTAAGACTGCCCGCTTGCTCTGGGACCTGTTGTCCTTTGATGTGGATGTCGCTGCGATCGAAGAGACTCACTTTGTTTGCAGTTCCGATGCGTGTGTGCTGGAGGATGACTTTGTCGTTTATTCAGTATATATTTGCCAGAGGTGTTTCTTTGCTTGTCAGACGTACTCTCGATGCGAAGGTGGACCTTGTGCATACCGATGCAGATGGCCGGTTGATCGTGGCCGATATTGCCGTGAAAAGTGATTCGTTCTGGGTCGTTGCAGTTTATGCGCCCAATGATCAGGGGGAGTGGGTCTCGTTCTTTCAGTGGTTGGAGTCGTTCCTGGTGGATTCAACGCGCCTAGTTTTAATGGGGGACTGGAATGCCATCCTGGACCCCAAGTTAGACAGGGGGCGGGGTGCTAGCGGGAGAGAGGGCGATCGCAGCCTGGTCGATCTGATCGACGATTATGGTCTCGTCGATAGAAACCGGGTCGATCATCCCGAGGGAAAAATGTGGACGTGGGCTCTTAATTGGCCTTTTGACAAGGTGGTTAGCTACCTTGACAGAATGTTAGTGAGAAGAGCTGACATAGATCTACTGGATTGCCCTACGTTCCACTGGGTAGGCTATTCGGATCACAAACTCGTTTGTGCACGGGTAGCGATTAGACAATAGGCCTAGAATGGCTGGGTACTGGAATTTCAATCTGTCTTTACTGGACAGGCGGGACTTCCAGGAGCAGATAATTAACTAGTGCAGCGGGAGCTAGTGGGGGCGGTTATCGGGAATAGATGGTGTGAACGCCTTAAATGTAGGATTAGGTCCTTCACCACTGATTTCAGCAAATGGCTCACTCTAGATAGAGCAGAAAAGGTGAAGACGCTTAAAGCTAGTTATTCCCGGGCGGTGGCTGGGGGGGATCCCCTAGAGATAGCTAAGGAGGCCCTGGATCGATGGAATAGCGAGCGGTACATGGGTCGGGTAATTAGACATAAGTTAAGCAAGATGTCTTCCGAAGCCGTGAACTTGGGCGCAGATCTGCACAGGGAAGAGGTCCGTCGAGGTGGCGATCGTTGCTTTCGTGAAGTCAAATCCCCAGAGGGGCGTACTCTTCGGGCCACTGACAACATGTGCGGAGAGTTTCGGCGCCATTTCGAGAACCTGTTTACCAAGGAGCCTGGTCTCCGTGAGGAGGAGTTTCATAGCTATTTGGCCGACTTTCCTCGGCTTTCGCCGACTGAAGCGGCTAGCTGCGAGGGAGAGATTACGGAGGGCGAAGTCTACACGGTTTTTGAAGAAGGTCGGCAGAGGCAAGTCGCCCGGTCTGGATGGTTTGCCCTATGAATTGTACTTGAGGCTGTCGCACATCTTTGTTCCGATTTTGACTGCAGTGTTCAACATCTGGTTTCGGTCGGGGTCCATCCCCAATCGGATCACCAGGGGTGTGATCACTCTGTTGAAAAAGGGCAAAGGTGGTGGGGGGAAGCTAGATGATTATAGGCCCATAACTCTGCTAAACACAGAGTTTAAGATTTTGGCCAAGATCCTGCAGGAGCGTTTGCAGTCAGTTGCCGAGTCTCTGTTGGGTCCTGAGCAGACTTAGTTCTGTGAGGGGCCGAACAATTCGGAGCACGATCATAGAGGGTGTAAAAGACAACGAAGAAGCTGCGCTGATCAATTTGGATCAGTCCAAGGCATTTGATAGGGCCGACCATCGCTACCTTGCTGCTCTCCTGCAGGTCGCTGGATTCGCACCAAACTTCTGCCGCTGGATTAGCCACCTGTATCGCTCCCCCAGTGTGGTGGTACAGGTGAACAGAAGGTTGTTGGTCGGTTCGTCTGGGTTGTCCGCCGTCACCTCTTCTTTATGCTTTGGCGTTGGAGCCTCTCCTTCGCCGGCTGAAGGACGAGACTGGCAGTCCGGCCCTACGTGGAATTGCCTTTCCTGGAGGGTCTCGAGCCAGGGTTTCCACGTATGCCAATCACATATCTGCTTTCGGGTCGTCCCGCAATGACATTGAGGCGGTACAGAAGGTGCTTGATCGGTACGAGAAGGTGACAGGGGCCAAAATAAACCACGACAAGTCGTCCGGCTTGCGGTTAGATGCCTGGAAGGGGGTCGCTCTTCCGCTTCAGTTGGACAGACGGTCCTGTCCGCATTCTTGGAGTGTGGTTTGGGCCTGACCTCCAGCTGGAGAAGAATTGGTCTGAAGTACGAGCAAAGGTTGATTCCGCCGAAGGTTGTCCGTGAAGGGCAGGGTGGAGGTGTGTGCTACATATATTTTCCCCCTGATCCTTTATCGATTGTCCGTACTTCCTCTCTGTAAGACCCACAAGAAGGTGCTCGAGCGATCGCTATCCTCCATTTTATGGAGGGGACGCGGTAATTGGGTCGACAGACGAGTCTGCACTAAACGTCCGTGTTTCTGGGAATGCCACGAGTCATGCGAGTCACATCCGTGCCTCTAGGTTGGCTTTCCCTCGCCCCCACGCTTGCATTGACTGGAGGAGATCCGATTCTGGAGGGATTGTTATGGACGCGTTCCTGGCCTTACCATCAGTCCCCCCATCTCGGAAGGTCTTCTATTGGGAATTAGTGGAGAGGCCCGCGAAGGATCCCCTACGAGATATGCTCGGCTTGTCGGAGGAGGAGTATCGCTCCTACTGGTCTTGGGCACCAGCGGCGGATTACCTCAGTAACACTGAGTTTTCGCTTAGCTGGCAATTGGCTCAGAATCGGCTGCCTCTCAACGACAAGGCTTTCATATGGGGCTTGGCGGATTTGCCAGACTGTGAACGGTGTGGCCTTGGCTTAGAAGAAACAGCTGCGCACGCCTTCTACCATTGCCCCCAGGTCCGCCCCTTATGGGACCATGTTGGCGAGCTGACGGCTCGTCTCGCTCCTGAACAGCTTGTGTCCATTGATCGCGCATACGCGTGTGACAATGTGTCGCCCCTGTATTCCGGGATGAAACGGATGGTGTTTCTGACGCTGATGGCCACGGCTTGAATGGTGATTTGGATGACGCGAAAGGTTGAAGTCTTGCGAGGCAATCGTCTTTCTCATTCGGATCTAATTCGATTCTTTGAGCATCAGCTCAAGATGAAGATTAGATTGGATAGAAAACGATTGCATTCGACAGTCTTTAGCGAAAGGTGGGTAAAAGAAGCGAGCTTGCTCTGTATGAACAGGGCTAGCCTTGATTTTCTCTTCTAGGTCAACCTATTGCACATCGGGTTGGCTTCTTCTGGAACCCTCCCCTTGGTTAGGTTAGACAAGCTTCAGTGTACCTAGTTAATGTGAGTAAGTGTTGTTCCTGGCCTGCATCCCGGCCGTTCTTTGGTTATGATCCAAGTCGAGATTCCCAACCTCCCCAGTTTGTTTTGATCCCCCCCCCCATCTCGACTGGGTCAGTTTTATATTTTCCCATTCCAGCCTAATATTTTATATTTTTTCCCCACTCCCTTAGCGAGACCGTCTCTTGATTTTGTCCCCTGGGCAGAATACAGCAGTCTCTCTGTTTTATGGGTTGGACGGTCCCTACTAACATCAATTATGTATTATTTGTGTTTATTTTAAGTTTATTATTGGGTTCATTTCCCTCCCCTCTCATTTTATCATTATTAGAATTGTATATATATATCATCATTAAAATTTTTATGGCATGGGGCGTGATTGTGGTAGGTCTCCCTTGAGAGCACGTGGTATTATGGTGATTGAAGGATTGTTTGGTGATGGATGAGTTCTTTTGGTGAATGGGTAAAATGTAATGTACGAATGGGTCGCGAATCTGATTAGCTTGGTATAAGATAGTTAGTGTTGACCAGCCTCTACCCCTCCCCTTTATTGGCCTCGTGCCACAATTTGTACTTTTTGTATGAATAAAAATACCAGTCTATGACATTCAGTTCTTTTTTTGTCATTAAGTTGATTTAAAAAAAATGAACGCTCTTAAAGTTACTTAATTAAAAAAGACCGACTTCCGCCGTATTGACAACTGTTTTCAACGCGGTGCATTATTTGGTCAAACTCAAAATTAGCGTAATACCATTGAATGTAGACAAATAAATTGAATAAATCACAAAAATACCCAAACTAAGCCCAAGAAAACACTGGTTAACAATACACACAGGAAGTTCCTAAAACGCAATGACAGAGTTCGAAGAGAAGATATTGTGAATGATTGAAAATTGAAAAATGTATCAAGTGATTTCTGAAATTTTGTATTGGAAATTTCTTGCCAAACGATGCTTCGGGCTCAGATTATAGACTATCTAAGTTGAAAGCATAAAGTAAATTTTACTGAAAATATTAAAAATCAATTTACATTTTACACCAACTTGAGTTCAATTATAAGCGGGCAAAAAAGAAACATAACAACGGGCTGTTTTCGTGTGCGATTGAGTTTAATTAAAAACATCGATATTTTTTCACAACAATTGAATAACATGAAAAAAGATGGGGCAAACAAAATTAAATATTTTTGAGTAGAAATAAAAAAAATCAAACAAGTGCTGCTCCCAATTAAAACAACTGAAGCCAGCAACTGAAAGACAAAACCTCAACAAGGCATAATATTCGATCAATAACATATTTGGTGACCAGGAAGTAAACAAAAATGGTTACACATTGGAAGTTTTAATTAATCATTCGCTGTGTATTGCCCCTTCGGGTTACCAGTTATTCCAGACAGAATGGGTCGAATGAAAACAAATTTAATTTCTTGGAAAAGCCTCGAGTTTTGCTGAGAAAGAAAAAAGGTCCAACAAAATGCAGTTGAGGATGACAGAAGACATCATAAAACAATGACAAATGTTATTTAAATTATTTACAAAATAACTATTGTTTATCTTTGTTGTTGTTGTTTAAAAATTTTAACTCCCGACCAAATCTAAATTATTGTGCCAAACAAAAAAAAAAAACTTAATAGAAAAGGAAAAGGGGACACGTGCTATTCTCCTTGAGATCAAAATAGGCACAATGAACAAAACAAGATTCCACCACTGCGTAAAATTTTAAAGGAAAAACATTTATTAAACAAAAAGACAAAAAAAGATACAAATACAAAATTTGCACAAAAAAGTTCCTCTTGTGCGCCTATTAAGGCAGTATAAAAGTCTGACGTTTCAAAAAAGAATTATCACCGAAAAATGGAAAAAAAAAGTTAATTCAGGAAAAGACACAAGGTTTCACTGACAAAAAGAGAAAACAATTCAAGAAAGCAGAAAAACAAAAAGGTGCAACCACCTTTTAGAAAAAAAAAAAAAAAAACAAACTTTTAGTCTCTGAAACATAGTAATTTTAGAAAAGTCCTTTTTAATAATCACACTGTTCGTGCTTGGGAAAATTTCTTTGAATTCTTTTCGTTCTTTGTCGTCCAACTGCAGCAGAATTTTCACTTGTGAACTCCAAGGCCAACTGGTAACTGGTTTTGTCGCCTGTCTTTCCTTTGATATCAATTTCCTTGTCCCTTTGCTGTCAAAAAGGCTACTGGTTTATCTATTGACCGGAGTTCTATTTATTCGAAAAAAAAAAAAATTCTCACAGGAGGCCCGGCTCCATTAGGGTTCTTACTAGGGCTTGAGATCACGTATCTCATTGGTCAGTATATATGAAAAAATACTTTTCCATAAACTTGAAATGGATTCTTAACAATTTGGGCTAAGAAAAAGATATACAAGTGCAAAATATATAGTTTACTGTTTTACACAATCCGTCTGGTCTTAGTTTAAGTTTTCGTTTGTTTGCTACTCTAGCTGAGTAATTTTTTTTTTATTTCTTCGTTTAATAAAATCTAAAAACAAGTCGTAGGTATTTATCCGGGCGCCTACGTTGCAACAGAATATGACACAATGTCTGTGAGAAGAAAAAAAAAAAAAAAAAACCTAGAAAAATTGATCAAGCCACATCGGCACACCTCACGCGCTGAGTAATGGCCCCAGTCCGCTCCCAAAGGAGAGGTACTGCCTGTAAGTGTAATTTGAGATTATTTTCAACTTGTCCGGGAGGAGCGGACTCCTGTGCGGAGAAAGTAAGTTGTATTTGTTTATGTTTTAGTTTTCTCCTTACCTTTAAGAAATTGGGACCTGATTTCTTAAATAAGCTGTCTTTGTGGATTTGACTGAACTAGGTAGGTTGCATTTTTGTTTAACGAAAAATTACACTCCTATTTCAAAAAGAATAAATCTAATTCTAAAACAAAAGTAAAACCGTAGTAGTTAAAAAGTAAAAACGCTTTTCTATTTTTACACATTGCTGAAGTTGGTTTGATGCCGATGAAAAGCATAAGCAAGACAAGTAAATAAGTTTTAGTGGCATTAAAAACTGCTTCATAAAAACAAATAAAACGAGTAACGCCAGTAGTACATTCATTACTTAGTTCAAGTAACGAAATTAAAAAGCAGTTTGGTTTTACTGACAGTCACGTTGAAATAAGATCTTCAGTGAAGAATGTGGAACCTTCCCATCTGTTGATTCAGTAAGTAAAACAAAATATAGAAGAGAAAAATGCAATTTTATGTCTTTCGATTCTATTGTAAAATGACATTGTAACATTAACAATGTACAAACATATTTCTATTCTTACAGAAATTGTGGCACAAGGCCGAAGGGGGGGGAGGTCTATTGTACAATGTAGAAGAAAAGGTTTTGTTTACGCTTTTTTGCATCTTGGAACCGGAACGTCACATTAAAGTTTTCTTGTTCAATGAAGAGTTTCTGATTTAAAAATTTAAACTTAAATCCTAGAAACTCTTCATATTGAACAAGAAGACATAAATTTAAATATCTTTCATCTTTTCATTTTTACTTTTACACAGTAAGGTTCACTCTGTACAAGTCCCGGGGACCACTCACGGCAGATGGTTAAGAAGGAGACTAAGAGGCAATATACGGGGAGGGGGAGATAACGGTTAACCCTAAACTTATTCAACAGGTTAAGAAGATTGTATTGATCGTGGAAACATTGGGAGTCGTTTCCACAAGAACTGAATGGAATATGGAGGAGATGTCGGTGGCTGGTATGGCCACGGGTCAGACCGAGCGGAACCATTCAAATTCAGGAAATAACACAACTTATCTTAATTTTTTGATCTGGTTTATGGAAAAAAAAACAACAAACAATTTAGAAAGATATCATTAGTTGTGATTAAATCGACTATTTGTAAATCACCTTATGCAGGTTTTATTTTAAAAATCTAACTAAAAGGGGCATAGAAAGGTACCAAATATAAAAATAAAATCCTGAGTGTAAAAAAAACGTTCATATTCAAACAAATTTAACAGCATTTTAATTTTTAATCGTTTCAATTATTGTTTCTGCTCAGTCGGACGTTAAGGAAAAGAGCAGAAACAAAGAAACGATAAAAAAATGCAGTTATTTCTTTTTTTTAACTTAAAAAGTCATTTCATTTTAAAGTAAAACTATTTTAATTTCAATCCAGTGATTTTTAGTCAGTTTATTAAAAAAAAGGAAAAATAACAACCAACTAAAAGTCTAACTAAAAAAAAGTATTAACGCTAACTAACAGACTTGTTATTTGTTTGAATTTTTTGCTATAAGACTTAAGAAGATTGATGATAAAAATATTCACTTTTGTTTGAGATTTTCGTTTGTTATTTCGAACTCAAACTGTTCGATTTTGTTTTTTTTTTTGCGGCTGGGTTTGACTGGGAATCTAAACAGGTTTTTTTTTTCTTTTTCCCTAAAAGATTTTCCGTAGTTAAACTAAAAAATGAAAATTACAATTCAATATTGAACTTTTTTTTTTTTAAATCTAAAAGCAGTCTTGTAGGGTGGGGGGGGGATTGGTAATAAAACTAAAACGAAGTTTTTGACATGACAATTATGCACTTTTTTTCTTTTCTTTTTTTAAAACCATCAAAATCAGATTCAACTACATTTTATAATTTTTATTGGAAAAAGAAAGCATATAAAAATTTGAAGTATTTCAAAGTATGACAGTTTCTAAAATATTGAATAAACTTTTAACAGCTCATGCACGTCTAACTTGCCGATGTTAAAATTTAACTTTGGCACAAGGCGACATCCCCACAGGTATTTATTTACTAACTTTTTTTTTTTTTTTTTTTTTAATCTAAGTTGCACGAGGCGAGCGAAGATCGAACTCACAAATGTCGAGCACTAATTGAGCGAGGATCGAACACGCTAAAAATGGATTTCTGTTATTAGTTCGTCCTCATCCGATGAAAATTAAATTCATTGTTAGTGACTCTGTGAGACAAAAAAGCGGGTATTCATGCCACACGATAATTTTTTTTTTTTGTACATTTTTAAATTGTACAAACTGAAGAATTAAGAAGAGAAGTTTTTTAGAAATATTAAAAATAAAAAAGTTTTTACATGAACTCCAGTAAAAAAAACAAAAAAAAAACTACCTTAGCTGGGAATGGGTCTTCCGTAGTTTCTTCTGTATCTGACATTCCAAGATTCTTTCTCGGTGTTCAACAATATAGCTTTTGTCTTTTTTTTTTTTTTTAATGGTGTTAGTGTTCAGCGTGGATGCATATGTATCGCCAGTTAGGAAGTTAGTGTTCCCGAAAACAGTGCGCTTAGATCTAATAAAGCGGATGGGAGTAGAGGGATGAGTTCATGTAAAATGTCGTTGGTGTGTCACAGTTTTTCGTTTTAGAGTATAATTATTTAAAACACATTCGGCTTCCCTGCTAAAGATACATAATCAAGAATTTAAAAATAAGGGAATTGGCAACTTTATTGGACGATCTAATTATTGCTTTTTTTAAAGTTTTTAAGGGAGATACTACTGAACAGAAAATAAGAGAAGTACTTTTTAATTTTAAAATGTTTTTAAAACTTTAGTTTTGTTTGAAGATGTGTGTGAAGTATTTTTCAAACTGATTATTTCTTTTAGATTTTACTTTGTCAGTTATCTCTTCTTTTTGCTGTCTGTTGACGGTCACTCGTAAATTTTGTTAAAACACGGACCAATTACTTAAAGAAATATTTCATAACACCAGTGTAAAAATTAATGCACTGACTGTTGTTTACCACTGCAATAAGAAGAATTCGTAAATGGCATCATAAAGTTAAAGTTATTAATTTTGTAGGATTCTTTAAACTTTAGTTTAGTGTGTATTTCAAATGAAATAAGCACAATTCATACAAAAATTAAAGTAAACTATGGTGACTACATGTTTTTAGTTGTCAAATTTTGTCGTTAAGAAGCGTAACTAACATAGTTTACTTTACTTTTCAAAAGATCAAAAATTTTGTAAACATTTTTAGAAACAACGAATAAAAATAAAATTAATTTTTAATAAACCTTCAAAATTACCTTGTTAAACTGTTGATTTAAACTTCTCAATCAGCAATCAAGTGAAAATAAGTTGTTGTTTTTTTCTATTTTAAATACAAAAACTTCAGAGGTTTCTTTTTCTTGAAGAAATTCATTGTCCATAATTGCCTATTACCATGTTTTTGTAAATTTCCCATATTTTTGTGAATAAACAAAACAAAACAAACGTAATCCATGTTGTTGACAATAATGAGGATTGCAAGGAAATTTCAAATCGACACTACTTCTAGTTCACGCGTAAAAAAAATAGGGAAATTTATTTTTGTAAATAAGTTTTTTTGTTGTAGAGATTAGCATTTTTTTTTTTAGACATTCCTTATGCCGCGACACTTGTCGATAAGGTGGTCCTATTCAATTCATACATTCATTTCAATGAAAATAGATCCCTGAAAGAGTTACTAATGGAAAATAAGCAGTTTCTCTTTTCAAACTGTGCAGCTTTAACTTATTGATATTCGCCCATTTTTTTTTTTTTAATATTCAGAACATTTCATTTAATTTTTTAATTCCCCTTAAAAACATTACAGGGTACACGAATTATTTTTTTTAATGTAGAATAAACGCAAACGGATATATACTTTTAGTTAGTTTAAACGTAAATTTGAAAATTCACCCACCCTCTTTGATAATAATTCTTTGCACGGACTTCCTAAAACAACAAACTCAAAACACCGATTTTAAATAATTTAAATATCTTATTTGAAGTTAAATTTTGGTTTTATTTCAAATATATCTTGGAGAGTTAAATCCGTATCAAAAGAAAAATTAATTTCCGTATGTAAATAAAGTTTTTAAAACATTTTTAAAACATTGGCTGTTCACTTGTCATTCATCGACTTGACATTATTAAGCAAAAAATGTTTACAAGAAATTTTAAAATCTCTTAAAAATAAAATCCAATAATTCTCCTAGAGATGAGTTTCAAAGTCATTTAGTAAATTTAAGGATTAATTAACTAGATTTTGTAAAAGTAATGCTTACTTTTTACTTAGCATAATAAAAATAAACGCTATGATAGCTTGTGATGTCATAGATCAAAAACAGAAACTATAATTTCACTCCGACTTAAAAAATGTGCAGAAAATTAAAAATAAAAATTAAACAAATATAGAACACTAGCAGTGTAATAATAAAAAAAAAATTATATTTATATTTAAGAAATTATCTTTAACCTTAATAGTTTAATTAAAAGTGAAATGATTTAATTGTTTTTCTTTTTTGATTATTTTCTTACATGTTTGATGTCATCAATTTTATCAAGAATCTCTAAATACCAAACCAGATGTGACAGCAATAGTCAATGCATGGATCAATGATAGTGATAGACTTGTAAATGTATAAGATAGATTCTGTTGCTAAAAATTGTTTAGCACAATACAGTGAACTAAATTTCCTAGCAGCCGGCCTAGCAATTGATTCAATATAATCTTTCCACTTCATGTCAGCTGGAAACATTAGCCCTGTTATGATCCAGAATGATGATATTTCATCATTCTAAAAATGACCTTGCCATCAGTAATAATAAAAAAAAAGGATATTTCATCATTCTAAATATAACTTTGTCATCAGTGATGCTAGGAAAGAAGGATATTGCATCATCCTAACCCTCATCATCATAAAAACAACCCTTTCACCACAAAAGAATCAGAAAGAAAACGCTGAGTCACTCCCCTAGATGTTAGCATCGGCTATGCTGATGGAAAGCAAAAAATGTTCTCTAAGATGATTAAAAAAGAGCAATTTCATTTTGGAGGTATTAAAATTTACAAACCATTTCTTGCTCCAGTTATTAACAGATTACAGATCATTTTTGAGATCAGCTGCCAATTTAACTTATCAAACCAATCAGACTTATCATTAAGACAGGAGTATCATCTGTGTCATCAGCATAGGTACAAAGTTGAGAGCTGATGGCATTGGGAAGGTTGTTGATGAAAATTAGGAACAATGTAGGTCTAAGGATAGAGCCTTGGGGAACACCTGCATTTATGCAAAAAGATCTAGAAGAGTGGCCATTTAAGATAACTTTCATTTCATGATTTGATTAGAAGGACTGAGTTGGTTCAAAAGTTTGTCCAGAAATTTGAAACCTTTCAACTTGTGAAGAAGATCAGTATACCAAACTCAAACACCTTCAAGATATCCAAAGCAACAGCCCGAGCTTACCATTCTTATTTAAAGCTTGATAGACTCTTTTGGTAATAATCGTTAAGACATCAATAGTTGACCTAGAGAATCGAAAGCCATATTGCTTGTCTGATTATTAAGAATAATAACACAAACATCATGTAAAATTTTCAATGGGATTTTTCCTGTAATGTTCATCAGTAAATGCCTAGAATTTTATATTTAGTCTTTAATATTTCTGTTCTTCTTATCTAATATTACATATAGGCACAAAAACACAAAAATACTTTTATTAATCTTTTTTTCATTTTAGATGAATTTTACATTTATTTGAAAATAATGTATGTAATGAAGGTTAAAAAGATAACCCTTTATGGAATGAAGACAATGAAAGGAATGTATGTAATGAATGTAAAAAGATATGCTTTACCAAAGGATTTTGACGGCAATAAACATTTAACATTTTGTAAATAATTCCAGAATGCTTTGATTAAATAAGTGGCAATTCCCAATTCTAGTTCATTTTTGTCTAGGTCATAGCTCTTTCCACCAGTAAGATAGTAATCAAAGCAAGATAACTCATTTTAGATTAGTAGTATGTATGTACTACTTGTGTACTACTGTCACATGTGCTGTCAGCATAAAATTCTATTGCCTGCTGTATCCATTCTATAATGAATTGTAATGTTATTCTTAATAACTTCTATCTGAATTTATTTTATCAGTGTATCATATCAAAGCAGTAATGCTGCTTCAGCCAATCACAGAGAGAGAATAATTTTAAAAAAAGCGAATAAGATCCTTCTTTTTTCTTATAAATTAGGCAGCTAAAGTAAAATAGATTGGCAGAAATTCTGTGGTAAAAAGAAAGAATAAGAGAATCAACTTTCAAATCCCATATCCCTTTTATTTATAAGTACTTTTAGAGGTGCTAAAAAAGACTTTACTCAAAATGAAATTTGTAAAGAAACAAAAATGACAAAAAATGATTTTTACAATATACAAATTGTACGAAATAGGCCTTGAACAAAATTTCCCTTTTGCACCTCAAAATATCAACACAGATTAACAGTATTTTGAAATACAAATCTGTTATCTCTTAGAAAAACAGTTCATGAAAGATCTGTTGTTTTTTTTTTTAACAACAAAGGAATTTTAGTTTCAATAGTTCATATAAATCAATTTTTTAGCAACAAAAGAAATTTACTTCATAAATTCAAAAGTTCAAAGGTGAAAAGTTGAAGTGAGTGAGAAAAGAAAGACCAACCTCAGGTGATGCTACTTCTCTGGGTCTTTTAGACAAAATATTCTGATTTTTGGAAAAGGAGTTCTCAAATATGAGAAACTGTCACAGGTTTAGGCACAACATTCAAATGAGATAAACTTTCACAGGTTTAGAAAAGGCATTTGAATGAGATAAATATTTCTTTTAGTTTTAGAGAGATTCTTTGTAAAGAGAATTTTTAAAGGTTTTTAGGAGTTTTTCTTTCTTCCTTTTCATTCTTTTTTTCTTCTTCTTCAGCAGACACAGCAACCAGTAGTAGTAGGAGCAGCAGCAATCTTTATCATCCCAGCTCACAGCTTTCTTGTCCTAGTTGTCTTCTGTAATAGTAGTTTTTTTTTTTTTGTTTTTTTTTTTTGCTATGTAGATCCCAAATAGCATCCTCTACATGCCGAAGATGGTAAATTCTTTCTAACTTAGCAGTCAAAATTTCCACATTAAATAGCAAACAAGTAGCTTCAACCATATCAAAAACCAACTCTTTAGAGGGCATATACTTTTTATCCCCATTGGTTAAAAACTAGAGAGTCATTATCCAATCAAACCATGCACATTTGAAACTTATATATGGTAGGTTTTTGACATCAGAGTTGAGACTATGTTTTGTATATCTTAGCCACAAAATATTTAAACCATCTGATTTCATTTTGGCAGTTTTTTTATAAACTGTCTTCCTTCATTTTAGTATTTTTTTATAA